GCTGGAATCCAGCTGCTGTTCCACATGACCTGAGGACATTCATTACAAATCAGATCTGTATATATTGTCTTTAATCTTTTCATTAAATTCAAGGCCACATACTGATGGACCAAAAACCCAAAGAGAAATTAATGTTTTTGGTAAAATAAAAGCTAAACTTCTTTAACGACTTTAAAGAAAAAAAATACATCTATATTTTCATCACCCTGTCTTTTAGCATCTCAGTATGGCCATAACAGCAGCATGTATCTATATAATACATGTTATATGAACAGTAAATAACAATACTATCTAGTCTATATCTAATATATACATGTAAAGTAATATATTTAACATACTTAGTTACTTGTAGAACCCTGCTGTTGTCTCCACTGCAGTGATCTGTATTCTCTGCAAGACTTTGGTTGGACTTGTTCTTCTCGTGTGGTTCTGTGGGTTTCATGAAGATGTCTGATGGAAAATGTGAACTGTTGCTGCTAACGCATGCACATGTCTTCAGTGCAGATTAACAAAAGCATAAGAACAAAGTATGGATGTGGTTAATGAGTTTTGATTTAAGGAAATGAATTATGTGAGACTTTAGATGCTGTTTAAACTAAAAAATTCTCCATCAGTAGATAAGAGTGTGCTTGTGCATCTTAGTTACAGTGTTGTTGATATCTGCGGTTGTCCTTGCACGGGACAGTGAGGACATATGTGCTGTCTATACTCATTCAGTCTGATATGATCTCAGTTTCCATTCAGTCAAAATCGGGGTCAGATTATGCTGCAAAAACAAAAGCTCAGAGAAAGACTGATATACTAAGAGATATACTCAAGTAGAGTTACCAGAATCACCAGGATCTTTCCAGCCACTTTAATTATATGCATAATTAATCAGTTCACAGCCAACTATAAGTAGGTGCATCCCAGCAGCATCCACAGACAGCAAAAAGCACTAACCACCGTTTAAAGCACAGTCTGGTGCTGCCATCTAGTGACACTGAAGAGCTCTAACGACTGATTTTAGGATCATTCTGGGTCACTTTAACTGCTGCACGTATTTTTGATTTCTTCTATCTATGTTTACAAAATGTATAGCGCACAGGGAACACAGAAAGACACATCTATACTACAATCATTGTAGTATAATGTTGTGGACATTATAGTGTGACTGATTTTAATCTGACATTTCATTCTTTGCTCAACTGCACTGTGAAAAGCACAGATGTATACAGTATTTGTATAAGTTATATAGATGCTGCCTCTCACAGTGCCCTGTGTAATGTTAATGCAAAGTTTCATCAAGCTCAGCCAAGAATATATATAGATAGTTAGATAGTTAGATAGATAGATAGATAGATCCGGGCCATCAACACGTACGCCCTGCCCGTGATCAGGTACCCTGCTGGGGTAATAGGCTGGCCAAAGGAGGAGATAGAAGCCACTGACAT